TGGTATTATCCAGCGGTCAGGCTAAGATGCTTATACATTAGCAATCTAGGGAACCGGGCAGCTGGACTGGAGTCCTGGAGCACACAATGACTTGCCATTAATAGGTTGTGGAGCGTCGGGAGAGCCCACCCTGAGCAGAGATTTCCATGTGGATATGGCCTATGGCACAGGGGTACCTGCCCTCAGCCATCTGCACTGATTTGACAAATTATTCTATATCAAAGGCCTCTGCACTGATTTGGGTGGTAATTGATTGGAAGTGAGGCTCTCAAATCCCTGATTGGTTTAGCTGGATGTGTGGGGAAGATATGCAGTGGCAAATGAGAGGGAAGGATAGAGAGAGAGAAAGAGAGTAGTGACAGTGAAGGGGATACGGGAAATCTACTGCAGAACTCATTTGCACTGTGAGAGATTTGAGAATGAAATTTTGTGAGACAATGTCTACACACAATATTCATGGTATATTTCTTAACAGAACCACCCATGTCCTATCTTCGTTTCTGTTACTTTTTTCTGATGCAATTGTCGAGATATCCAATTTGTTAGTGTGTCCGTGAAGATTGGATTTCACCATTCAGAAAGAGGAATTTGGTTAGAAATGGAATATTATTGATTTGTTCCACATGGAGGTGTGGTCTGATGCAGATATATGAGCATGGCAGGCTGGCAGGGAGGCATGGATTATACATCCCTTCATCAATTTCTCTTGAATTTTTGATGCTCCTAACCCTTGTTGTGGAAATCAAGTGACAAGAGAGATAACATCAAACACGGAGGCCGGCCATTGTCAGTGATTCCCCTGGGGATTGCCTCGACCTCATAAACCATTATAGGATCAGGGCTGCATTAGGGGACAAATAGGCATGAATGATGTGCTGAACACTTATCATATTTACATAATCTATTTTGTTGCCATCTTCATGTTTGGCCTTAATACGAAGCATTGATGAATCACTTAAACATAGTCTTTAATTACATAAAATCTCTGTAAAATGTCATGTATAACACATATTCATGTTTGGCAGAAATCTGGAGGTTTGAACATGACATTGATGAGCACATTTGAAGCGCTAAAGCATGCTCTGATACAGAAGCAGTACAGAGTAGAATGGTCAATGTGAATATGCATCTTTTCATATTTTTGTAGAAAACATTCCATGTTTAATACTGAAGCTTGCATAGTGTTAGCAATAGCATGTTAGCATGTTGTCTTTGACATTCCATCCTGTCACGTACAGTATGGCTCATTGTGTGTTCTGCAGATGAGGCAGAAGACTGTAGAGCCCTACAATTGCACCTGTGGCAGTGGATGCTATGTACATACAGGCCCACTGCCTTTATTACACGGCAGGCTGGCTGCACCGCATACCTTTTGCCATTTGACACAGACATGTGGTGCCTGCTAGTGACAGATGCTGCACAGTACTGGTCCCAGAGGTCACAAATGACCTTTCGAGTTGCCTCTTTTTTTTTTCAGTCACAAAGAATTATTTGTTTGACGATGGCCACCGATGTGACCCCAGGCACCCTGATGGTTGCTGCTTGTCTTCTGAGATCACATTTACCTCAAATGAATTGTAAATGTGCTTATACAAGACAGGTTGAGTGAGTGGATTTGTGTGTTTGTGCGCTTGCATGTTCATGCTCAGTAAGACGCCTCACTAACAACCCCATTCTCTTCTTGATGCATTTAACGTAGCTCAATTGCTGCATGACTAGCCTCTTGTTTGGATGCCAGAGGGATTGTCTTTTATCATACAGAATGAATCATCATTAAGATGTGCTTGTTCAGTGGCCTTTCCTTGACTTAAAAACGCAGCTGCTAACAGGGTCTCTTTAGCAATTTCTCTCTTCACAATCAGTGTGTTTACATTTACATTCTGTTTGAGCCTCGGAGGATGAACTGTGCTTCAGAAAACAACTTGTCTACCATTTTCATCCCAGACCTTTTACATTGTTAGGTATTATGTCACGGGAGACGTTCTCATTCTGTGTGGAAAATAGAAACTGTGAAATGGCATCCTGGAGTTGCACGGCGTTAGTTTACCTAAGCAATTTCAGAGCTGGCAGGAACAGGGTGCAGTGCAGGCCCCATACTGTCAGAGGTGCTTGATCCCCACCCCCACCCTTGCCCTCTCCATCTGTCACCTTACTAGATTGCACTGTTCACATAGACACATAACATGTAGTTATGCATGCACACGCACACACACATTCTTACACACATACAGGCACAAACACAATCATATCAGCCAGAAATCTGCCCTACAACAGCAGAGAAAAATAACTGTTTGTATTTTATAATGCTTTGTCAAACCAAAAAACACACGTTTCATGGTGGGGTTTTAAAGGTCCTGTTTCCCATCTGTGCTACAAATGCCGTTCTACAGATGTACAGAAGCACATGTGTATGCTCATATCCCTGTTCTTGTTTCATTCCCATCCTGTTGTGGTATAATGAGAAACTGTTATTCATGCTGTAGATTCAGAAGTGAAAAACTGACACAATTTTCTAACGCCTGAAGCCTAGTGTCAGAAATATGATCTTACCCTCACCTCTTACCCTGACTGCCGTGCTGTAATGATGCTCTGAGGTGAGCCCACTCATCAATTATTCACAGAATGCACAATTTTCACTCTTTATCTTCTCGCCAGCGAGAGGAAAACCATTTAATAAAAATGGAGGTGAAACTAAAAGAAGAGAAAGGAGGGGGAAAGGCAGAGAGCAGCTTGGCGGATGAATAAGAGAGTTTGCGGTGGACAGACAATGCTCTCGATGTGAGTTATAATTGTAGTTTAACAATGTGCAGACCTCTGGGATTTTCAGTATGCAATGTATGGCCTTTAGACTAGGATCTCTATGGAAACCAAAGGCCCTGAACGACCTGCAGTGCCCACCCACTCGGACAGCCGTTAATCATCTTCGCTCAGATCCTGGCACTGCAGAATTTTGCCAATGTGTCAAGAAGCAATTATATATACTTAGTGCTCGGGCACCCGATCTTCTCCCTCCCTTCTCCTTCCTCGCTCTCACACTCTTAATATAATCACAGAGCAGTCAGTTTAAAAGCCCTCTGTTCATTTCACTATCTGTCTGGGGGATGCACACAATGCAGATGAAGAGAAGTGTAAAAAGACAGAGGATATTCTATTCTGAGAGCCATTATAATCTGAATATTCTTCTCATATAAATCATATCCAGCCATTTACTCATTTTACCAGCCTACTCAGCTGACTGACATACCAAATTAGCCCAGCTGGCCCATTGCATTCGCTGCACATATTGGGTTGGTGCAGATCATGGAGACTAATGTGAGCTGACTAGAGGGAGATTATGTTCCACTGCTAACAGCTAAAACGTGAATAACACTATCCAAAAACCCACGGTGTTCCCCCATTACATCAGCCTTGATCGCCTGTGAAAAAATGGTTAGAAAGCAAGAGTGAGGGAGAAAGGGATGGAAAAACAGAGAAGAGAGCGAGGAATAACGGGGCATTGACTTATACCGGGTAGAACTGTAGAAAGTGCACTGTCAGTACAGACCACTACTTAGTACAGCTACATACTTCAAGAGGTTGGATAATGTTAGCATTTTTGTTAATGAAACACCAGTAGGCTATATAAACAAACACATTTCATACAAGAATTAGTTAGTCTGTAATTTCTTCCCAACAGCATCTTAAATACCAGGTGTTTTGGTCGTATGTGAAGGACAAGTAGTCTTGTTTCACATTGAAGACTAAATTAAATGCATTGTTGCTGGGTTATGTCATGGCCACAAAGACGGATCCTTAGCAGGACTACTGTCCAAATGCGTGTGTTTAATGGTGTGTTTGTATGGCCCACAGCATTAACCAACACCGTGGCGTCTGGACCATGTAACTTACCATTAATGATCTATGTGCTCCCATAGCGTTTACCAGCACCTCCTCGCCTGGTGATGGTTAACGCTGTGGCCACATAAACAGCATGGATGTCGAGGAAAGTGTTAAAATGTATTGTCCCTGCCTGATGTGCATAATCTGAAGTCTTATGTGAGTCACTGCCAATAATTGGCAGTAAGCTGGTCTCTCACATAACTCTGAACATACATTGTTAGAAATGGTTGATGATATATGAATAAGTCACAATTCTATTGGTATAAAGTTAATGAAGAAAATGTTTTTTTTCTCTTCATCCATGGTAAACGCCCCTTGTAAATGAAAAAACTGTGAGATTCAAGACCAATTCACATTCGCCAATCTGTCTGCTGATGTCAGACTTGACCTACCACCATGGGCAACTTTTAACGCCACCAAAGTCATTTGGACTGTAAGCTGTGTATTAGTGATGAAGAGCGGTGAGAGTCTTTGAACAGTTGATGACAGGTTGTCAGACAGCTTTTCTACATTGGGCTCCTTTTACCAAGGTCCACTCTTGAAAAAAGCCACTCTCCCCAGCACCGGCCACTCATCCAGAAAAGGACACAGGCATTTTTGACACGTTTGGTGCTAAGTGAACTGAAATTGTGTGAATTTCACTACATAGCACATTATCACATTTGCAAGAGCTTTGCACCAGGAGTAGGAAGTGAGGGGGGACAGTAGAACTTCAGTGTGTTGAGATGACTTTAGACTGTCAGATTGAAGTGAGGACTTCGACTGTGCATGTACGGGACTAATTAGCATTGAATTAATTTGCTGTTCTCACCTCATGTCAAATAAGTCTTGAATCATAATGAAATGGAAACCAAATAGAACAAACAGAAAAAAAAAACACTCCTTGAAGAAAGCGATGTCTATGAAAGTGAACATTTTCTGTAAATAAATCCTTGTATCCTTCCTTTTAACGTTGTAAATATCAAACATTAGATACATGAACTGATGAGAGGGGTCTTGGGCAAAGCTTTTAACAAATTTGAGATGTTAAGAGACACACAAAAAAAAAACATTAAATGCTTAAAAAAATCTCTTTTACATAATGATGTTTGTCCCTGGCCTAAAAGAAAGCTGGAGCTTACCTTATGAGGACAAAGTGGGGGCGGTGAGTTAAAAGACTTCTCTGGTGTCTGGCCCAGGTTCTACAAGAAAAACACATTATCAGGGACATGTTTTCAGTGGATGGCATCTCCTAGCAAATCTTCAGTGAAAGAAGGTGGAGCTTGTTTTCTGGTTCTTGCCATTATTATTTTTTGTCATATATTTTAGAGGAGCTAAGTGACTCTCAATCAACTAAAAGTTCTCTACTGCTCTGTAATCCAAGACCACAGCTTTTGTTGACAGTCCTATTTTAAATCTTTATCTTGAAAATATAATTTTTTCATGTCATGTGAGTGGGAAGTGATTTTGTTATGTTTTCTCTCTTCCCTCTATCCCTCCACAAAGATTATAAATCCTTCTTTGTCAGAAGATTTCGCTGAACATATGTTCAGACTTTGCATACACGCCTGAATGCATTTTTTGAGGTTAAATGATTATCACATTGTTAATACACCAATACATCACTCAGATACAAGAAAACACCATTAAAAAGCAGACGCAAGGTAAGTCAACAAGCCACCAACAGATGGTCCTGCTGCTTGTGATTATACAAAGATCCAAAGTATTAGCATATTCAGAGTGCCATCATACAAAAAAAAGAGAGAAAAAAAAGGGTGCCATCTTGAACTGACCTCAGTGAGAAATGAAAAGAGCAATTGGTGAGTGAAACTCAGCAGGGAAGTGGATGCTTTCTGAAAACTTCTTTGGGAATCTACCAAGGGTCTGCCTCCTGGGAAGGCACTGTTGATTTCCAAGCAGGTGCTTTCAGTTATGCCCTCACATCCAATTATGTGCCTGTGGTACGTCTGATGCTCCCTGACACTATTAATGGCTGCCTTATGGTATCACCAGGACAGATGAGACACTCAGCTCTCCCGACTCTTAACATCTATATTTCATTGGAACATAGAAGGGGAACACCTCACTGGCCAAGGAAACTAAGAAGGAAAAAAACAGGCAGGCTTTCACTGCATGAACACCACTCCATGAAATATAAATGAATCAATGTGCTTTAGAGAGATAAATGGAATTCGAAGACAAAATTTTCCCTACAGATTGAGCGGGCTTCATAACTATGATATCTTAATTGATGTGACAAATAAACTTGAGTTATTTTCTTAAGGGACAAGAGCAGCTTCTGTGTACGTTTCATGCATGCATGATATCTAACAGTAAGAAAAAGACATTATGACCTTGAATCCAAACTGTGACTCATATGATATAGTGCCAGATTAAGCAGGGATGGATGAGAATATTGCAGAAATCCAATTGATTATGGACTGAACCTCAGCTTGACAGATAACAGCGTAAAAACACTAGAAAAAAAATAAAATAATAATAAACATTTCAAGTTTAAACTTCACCTAATGGACAACAATAATAGTTTGAGTTTCTATTAAAAAAATGTTAAAATATTCCCATTATCAGTGTACAAAATCAAAGTCAAGTATGCCGTATTTATTCATAAAAAAAATTCTCTTTTCTCAAGAGATTTATTCATCATCGGAAATTGCAGTGCATGTTGAAATTTGCAAGTAAAAACAGAGTTTGTATTCCATTTTGAACAGCCATTTAATTTGAAAACGCCATTTATGTTGAAGTAGCAATATTTACAAAAACAAACGTAATATGTGGCTAAAAACTCTGCCTGGATCCAGTGCCTTAATTGAAAAGCCCTGTTCATGCTTGATACCAACCATAGATAATCTAAATCCCTTTCCCTTTCTTGGACGCACACAACAACACAAACACATAGCAAGATCTCTCCAGGCTATAATCACAGAGGTTTATTATTTTCATTTTTTTTTTTCTCATTACAATCTCATATTACTCTCGGAGCAGATCAAAACATCACTTTTCAAAAACGCCATGTTCCTTTGACACACAGCACCAGTAAATCACAAACATGTAAAAAGTAATTATTAGGCATTAATGTTTTATCAGTGTGGAAACCATGCAGTTTTGTGCGCTTTAAATCATGCTCCATGGTTTTAAAAGAAAGAAAAATGTACTGCTGTTCATGTAACCAGAAGAAAAAAAAATCATACATAGAAAAATATGTAAGAAGAAAAGAACTGACATTTTTCAAATCACCTTTGGTCTGGAACATTTTGCATCTGAAACACTATTGACAAGTCTCGCAACAGAGGGTCTTGGATTACACCACCTATCGATGTTTTTGTCTATTCAGAGTGCTGGGGGTGGTTATTGTAACCTGATGAGGCCCAGAGAGAATGATGCTTGGATATAACAAATTGTATTTTCTGAGGAAACGGAAAGAAAACTGAAATATGATGTTTCTTTGTCTGTCTTATTTGAGACATGCTGATTAAGCTTTTTCTGCTGTACCTAAGCTTTGTTTAAAAACCATAATAGTACACTCATTTTCAAACTTTGAACTTTTTGCTGCATAACGTATAGTATGATGAACTCTTTGCCCTTTCAATAACTATCCAAGAGGCAACTTGTACTGTGTTTCTAAAAGCCACTGAGCAAATTCTGACACAATTGGTCTCTTAAAACAAGAACAAAAGCCGTTGCTGGGAGCTGGATCATGAAAGCTGTTGTTCTGCACATTATTCATCTACTATAGCAGATGAAAAGCTCTTTGATGTGACTGATATGTGCAGATATCATGTTCACTGACAGATTCCAGGTTTTGTGTTCATTCACATGTATTCACATCATTTCCTTCTTTAACGCCACAATTAAGGCTACTTGATGTAATAGTACCTTAAATATATCATATTTAACTCAACATAGGTAAGACAAATCTAGTTCTTAGACATTTTACTGCAGAAATGTATACATATTTTGTCTTTTTAAAGAAACATTAGCCCAAATGCAGCTTGCACTCTGTGTCTATATGTGCCAGATGATATATAGTAGTCTGGTCACATTCAACAAGCCAACTTCCTCAACAAGCCCCGTGAAAGTAAACAAGAGCACTATTCAGTGCTGAGTGGAAAGGGACTTGTGGCACATTTGTGTTTCTATCCCCATCAGCTCAGCCTGCATTCTCCACACACACAGGGAGGCTTTATACTGTCGTCTTCATCGGCTCTCTCAAAGTGCAATGATACATTTAGTAAACTGTGATCACATCAGCTAGTTATTGCTATTCGAGATCTGCTGCAACCCCATCATATACATCCCCCCCCGCCCCTCAAAAAAAATGTAGTTCTCTCACTAGGATTATAGAAGCCATGTAGTTCAAGGATTACCAAATGCCTTTGATCATGTGACTGCCATGTTTTTGATCTGCAGCACATAGCACAAAAATATATTCTGTTTTCTTTTTTTTTTTTTTGGCTTCTGTCTCTATCCCTCTCCATGGATTTCCCTTTTCTTGATGGTTGTCTGCAGTGTGAGAAGGCCTCTTGACAGGCAGTGAAAGTGTAACACATGTAAGACAGTGCTAAGTGCTATGCAGCATAAATCTGCCTTGTCTTAAAGTTCTATTAACACGTTTTGGACACGTGTTACAGAAAAGGATGCATCTATATTTTACTCCAAATTGTTTTCCTGTAGTGCACATTTCACCGCTACTTCTTTTAATGTTATCACAGGCAATGGCACAGATGTTTTGAGTAAAAAGAAAGCAACCATAGAGTATTTAGCCTTTGAAAATAGGAAGTAAGGTTTCAGATGCCTCTACCCCACCATTGCACCCCCAACTGCACCCTGCTGCTGTTCATTAGTGATTTCTGAGCCTTGGGCTATTTTGCAGTGTTTCAATCCCTGCATTATTATTATTTAGTGGCTGACTTGGACATGCAATCAAAGGGACACGCAATATGTGTAACACTTGTATCCCACAGCAATGCCTTTTCCGTGATGCCCAGACAGAAACCCTAGATCTGTGAGCCAAGGGAACTGTGGCTCAAATTTAGTCAACATACCTCAAAAAATGTTCTTTATCCTCATTGTGCGATCACCCCCGATTAATGTCATTGCCAAGAAAAAAAAAAGGGACTTATCAAAACAATTATTTTGATCTGGCTTCAAGCAACGCAGCATTTCAACGTGAAAGGCACTCGAATCCTGAATCATTATGAGGCGTGGTTTCAGGCAAAAAAAGCCCATCAAAAATGATTGAATATCATTTTAATGGGTAAAACCCTGCAAGGCTTTCATACTGTCTACCTGCCATGTTATTAGATAGACCATGTCAGTCAAGCTGACGAACACAGAAACAACACACAGACAGGCTGACAAGACATAAGCATGCTGCCTTCCATCTTCCACGCAGCTTGGCATGTTTATCTAGTCGTCCATGTGAGCTTAGAACAGGCTCTGTGCATATGCGTACAGAATGATGAAGGTTCAGAAACTAGTGCCTGGAGGAGGCTGCACATATAGCAAAAGCTCTTTGAAACTGTGCCAGGGTGGGCCTCATTTGCAAAGCAATTTGACAACAAAAGTAAAATACTCTACAACTTCAAACCAAATTCTAGAGATGCCAACTGGTCGTGCACTGCGGTTTGCTCAGAGAGCGGATTCAAGAGGGTTACATCCGGTGGCTTGTGTGTGCTTCTGACATGGCTTATTTGCAGACCTAGCATAGCACCAGTGCAATGTCATGATTGCTTTGGCAAGGGAAGAGGTGCCTTATTTACATGAGAGGGAGTCCTGGAGGCACACAGGAGCTTGCCTTTGACCAAGGTGCCAACAAGCCTGCAGAAAAACAATATAATTACAACCTACAAAGCGGCTGTGTTGAGAACAAACTTCTTCTTAATGCACCAGGACCACATTGACAGAAACTCTTTAAAATGGGCATGACTAAAATGATTAGTAATGCTGTAGTATTCTGTGTCATGGTCGCATTTTACTAGATTTCACCAACTCAAATCACATTTGAACTGCAGATGCCTTGTAGGTGTGCTTCTTTTAATAGATGTAGTGTTATCTATAATTTTTAAAGGACTCTTATTCCATGGATTGTTTCTTTGCTATGGATTAACAAAACAAATTCTTTCCCATGCTGTGGGTTTATGATAATCTAAAATATGTCAGGGAAGCTTAATACTGTTTATGT